CTGAGTTAAAAGTGAGTGGCGAATTTGCGCAAAACACACGCATACACACACACACAAGTCTAAGCATAAGTTTAGCCATCGCGGTGACATCAGCATCCAGTGAATATTTCTGAAAACCATGTTGGGGAAAACTCTCTGTGTTTTGACCCAGCATGAGCCCGCAGTTTATCGCGTTTTTATGGAAAACGCACAACTGCGTCGGTCATTTGGTACACACCGTCACTTAAGCCCAACCAAGTTTCCATCGCTGTTCGACCCCTCGAATTTATGTTCAGCTACATTCTGTATTCTTCGCATGCCATCATAAATTACTGCATATGAGTTTATCAGGATGGTGTGGATTATAAAATTCGCACAGTTTCTGAGGCGTGAACCGGGATCTTTTTGCATCTTATCAATAAAACAAAAGTGTTTCGCAAGGCTATATATCCATCGCACTTGCTGTTGTCCTGGGAAAATATAATACATACATAACTAAATACTTGTCAGAAGCCCTAAGCCTGGATAAGCTGGAAAGCTAGACACTTTTACCCCCGCTATCTCATTTAAGCCAACCGCGTTTTCGCTCATCGCATCACACTGGTGGGGAGCTTTTACGTTCAACAGGTACCTCTCACTGTCATTCTCTCCATTCCATTGTTGGTCTGGCCGGATTGCTGGAGGAGAAATCAGGATCGCGTTACCCTTTCCTCTTCCTCTTGCTTCCTCTTTCTCCCCGTTCATCTGTTCTCTCCTTAGCTCCTCGTTCGCCAGGCACGGAAATTCGACTTTTGTTGCTTGCACTATATAATGCGTTTATTTGTTCATCCTTGGGGGTTCGCTGCGTGTTGCACCTGCTTCCTGCGCGTCATTTTTTCCTCGTTTTGTTGCAAACAGTAGTGGATGAGCGGTGCTGTTCATCAGTCCATGTGTTCGCTTGTTAAAGCGCTCTATCCGCTGGCACGATTCGGATCAAATTCTTGATTCGAAGTTTCTCGGATGTCGCTCTAAAAGGAGACGCATTATGAAAGTAGCTTTCGGGTGTATCTGTGGGTTGAAACGGAAGCATCTATGGCAATTAATCTTTTTTACATTATCTAGTCAAAAATTTTCATGCGTTGTTGCATACTGTGCAAATGCAAAAACGCACAGTGGCAAGAGACTGTGTGTCTGTCTGACCGTATGTGTGTTCGCACTTCTTGTCACCCACTTTCAACTCGAAAACCAGAGAAGCTAGAAAGTTGAAACGTTGGGCGTATTTGCCCATTATATATGCGACTCCGCCCCCCTTTTTAATATTATCATTCGCATAAACCTGGATCCCATGTACGGACGCCTCGGAGAAGTATGCAAGTTTTTTGGCGGAAAAGCGATCTCGGGAGCTAGATATGTTAGGGGGTTAAATTTTGCAGGGGCATTCTCTCTGCCTGTGTGAGCTAAATATTTCAAATTCAGTTATCGCGCACGCTTGCACTTCGCTTACGTTACGTTAAAATCCGGAGCTGGCACGGTGCCAGCTCGAAAACTAGCGGGAAAACAGTAGTTGAAACATTATCAGAATATTTGTCGTCCATCTAGAAGTTCTGTATCTAGTTGGATTTTCAAACTGCGCTTGGGCCACGCCTTGGAGCGCGTCAAAAATATCCGTAGCGAAGAGGCAATTACATTTTTCGAACAAGCTGCGAAGCTGAAACTTTGCAAAGGTATTCTGTACTGTTCTGTTGTCTTAATTCAATTTTGGGACGAGATTCTGCACGCGGACATGGCAAATACTCAATTTTATCGCAAAATCAAAAGCGAATGCACTTTGCGCGTTTTGTAATCCTTCTGTTCCGACATCCTGTGCATTGTTAAATTTGCGCTTTTCGATGGATGACCTCTCACCAAGAAACGATCGAGTTTCGTGCAAAATTGAGGATCATGCATGCTGTAGGTTCACCTGGCCCATAATGCAACACTACTATTTCAAACGGATGTCCTTTCGTAGGAAAAGGCCAACATGGATCGCCGTGTTAAAGCACAGTGCAGGAACCATACCTGCTGTTAACGATTTGATTGCTGCAAGTTTAGCGCGAAAACGCAAGTTTAGCGCGAAAACGCGAAAACGGTAAACCCTATGCGTTTTCATTCCACTCATGCTTCCTGAAATTTTCGTCAGGTTACTTTGCGTAATTAGTGTGGCATTATTTAGTCTTCCATATCTCACGCTCTCCTTTGTTCTGACAGTAAAGTACTTCTTCTGTAAAGTAAGGTAAGGTACTTCTGTCGACCTAAGAGTGTTTAGAACTAGATGGGGGTGCTCAAACATATCAAAACGGCTAAAGCCTTGTCAGCTACTTTTGTCAGGAGAACCGCTGAGCTGAAGACATAGTCCATTCAGGAGGCAAAAAAACAAACGCCAGGATGCCAACAGGCTGGCCACCAAATAATGTAATACTGGACGGAGCAATTGTAAAGTTGGCAGTTACATAATTGGGGAACCACGCTATGAATTGTAGCGAAGGATAAAAGTTTCAGAGTATCTTTTCTTGTATCACTTCTGCGCCGTCAGTTATGCTGAAACAGAAAACCTTACTGAGCGAGTGGTTCCCCATTCCTCCGTTTGTTAGCCTGTCCACTCTCTGTTTGTTGCTCATCATCGCTGTACCAATTTTGTTGATGTTTCTTAAGACTGGCTGAAAGAACCGCAGCAGGGCAGCTACTTTTTGTATATCCGTTGGTGTATGGTACGTTTGGCAGTTTTTGGGAAGAACACGCTGAAAATGCTTTGTTTTCCAACTGGTACTAGAAAGCTAGGAAAATATATACTTGTCTCCCTTACCACACTGTTTTAAATTCACCTGATTTCCACAAAACGGAAATGCGCCACATCTACTCGTCGTACTAGGTTGGTTCCTGATTTCCATCAGTTTTGTTTTTATGCGTTTTACGCTGTGCAACACCAAGGTTTCAAATCAGTTTTCACGTACCGGCACGTGAAATTTTCAGCAGGAAATTCCTCAGCTTAGGAGCCAGATAGCATATCTACTGTTTTCCCACTTACGAAAGTGTAAAACATTTATATTTTTAGTAGGCAAACGTCCGTTGGGCGGAATTGCGCAAAACGCATGATCGCACCGGCTACCCTGGTGCGCGCGCTATTTATTTATTTTTTCTGGGACTTGAAGCGAATTCTCCCGTACTGGTCGATTGTGAATTCGTTAACAGATTTTCGAACGACTTTAGCTTTGCGATGTCCTAGCAGCATCTGCGAAAAGAAAGCAACTAAAACTCGGCTCAGCCAGGCAA